GTCGGACCCCCGGGGCTAATCACGCTTATTATTTCACATCACTAACAATATTGATAAAAGAAAGCAGAAATAACGACATGTATTATAAGTCTACAACACAAAGGCCAACTATCTCGAAAACGATAATAATTTCATGGTGAAATTGTGGAATTAAATACTTGCACGAGGCAAAAAAATGATGACGTGTAATCTCTCGCACAACGCAAAACTATTCGTTATTCATGCAACTGCAGTGCCGACAGCAATGGCACGTCATTTTATTTTCCGTATTAGTATTTTTCATGTAGTTCTCTGAATTCTCATTTTCGGATTTTTGTTTATGCCTTGATTAACAAGATCCGGTACCTCACCCTGACCTCATCCCCATCCAGTGAGTCTTGGGTATTGTTAAATCTCAGACTAGCAATTACTAGTCTGAGGTTAAGTGCACAACACAATTTAACGGGCGTGCAATGTATAAATACACTATCTAGCGATTTTTAGATCTAAGACAACTATTACATAATTTTCGAATTATGATAAAATACTAAAAAGAACATAATTTTAATCTTTAATAGTTTTTTCGTGTTTGGTCGGGCTGCCGTGTATTATTTGCATATGTGTAAAATAAATGCCACCGTGACAGAGGTCTGTTTTGTTTCAGATTTACATGGACTTTAATAATTCAAGTTAGGAACTGCTCAAAAAAATTCAAATATTACCTCTGTGATGGAAAAATAGCACTAGATCTATCGTTATTCGAAAGTTATCATCCAATTTATACGGAAAATCTTATTCTCCATAGTGTCTACGGGCAAATATGCGGGGCAAGTTACGTATTCAAATATTCAACCATGACGCACAACCCATCGTGATATACACGTGACCAACTATTGGCCAATCATTTACATTGCTTATTACGGAAGTCTAAAACAGCTGTAAACGTCGACTTGTGTTGACAATGATGATGAAGAAAACTGTCACCTTCAAGTGTATTGCACGTAGGCGGGTTGATGCTAAATGTAACAAACTGGTCGTTGGCAACGTCTTCAGGTATACGCGAGTACTAACTTATCGGTGAATGCATATTTGCCCGTGTTTTCACACGCCCGGCAGTGCTAGTGATGCCCAGGGCTGTACGGTTTAAATTTTGCGCGGAGTCTCACCGCCATTCTTCGTTTACTGCTCAGACAACTAATACATTTATTAATGGTGTGAGTTTACAGAAAATAACCCTCGAAACATATGCATCATACTCTCGCTAGTCACACCACAAAACGATCATTAAAATTGTCATTAATACCCTAATTTGTATGCATATCCAAAGTACAATCCCTGTTAGTGATAACTCTATATTGTACTTCATAGGTACCCTAACCAAGTAATTGTAGTCGGGTGTGAAGATGGCGGAATTCGTGTTTACGATTTACCGTCAAATAGTGACCATCACAATGACAAATTAAAAGTAAGTATAATGAAAATTGCTCGTCTGTCCGACCCTACTCTTGTATGGTGATTATTTATGGCCTGTTTGTTTAGTCATATTGTCTGGTAATTTGGCTGAACACTCTAGCCTTTCAGTTTGGTAGGGGTGTGCGAACGAGAAGTAAAAACCCAAACCCCATCATAGACTATTTTCACCTCATAAAACATACCCCATTATAGACCATATAGTGATTTTGTATATCCCATCAGAGACCAAATTGTTGCTAAATTTATTCAGTTATAGGTTGAATCTACTCATCCACCCGGACTCATCAATCTGAATGAATGATCAATCAAAGGGGAATAAGAACAAAACTAGAGTTCTTACTTTTCAACACACAGCATTTCATTTAACTTTTCAACACACAGCATTTTATTCACAAAAAGTTGTTGTTTGACAGAGATCAAAGATTGTTATTGCAGGAGGACCAGGAAATGATCAGTAAAGTCGGGAGGTCAATATGTTGTGGACATTCATAGTATTTTGGATATTGTTTTATTTATTTTTTAGCCCCCCCCCCTCTTCTGAAAACAGACCCTAGACCAGCAAACCTGATATTGTACCAAAAGGCATACAAATCTATACCCCATTCAAGACCAAACAGCTAAAAATTATGACCCCCAAACAGCGGCATGTCCACATAAGGTGATTTGCATTAAGTGCCCCCCCTGGCCAGTCCATTATGTTGTCTTATTCACCAGATACCCAAGTGATTCTCTCTCAGTTATGTTCATTTCTTGATTAAATGTTTCTTTGAATATATTTGATGAAAACACAAAATATTATTCAGAGTTAATGTACCTCTGATAACACCAATTATTCATGAGTCTTTTCTTCAATTTTTTCTTCTATTGTCAGTTTACTGTCATGTTTATGAAAAATAGTCTGGGTAGTATGCACCTAATGCATGAAATTGTTTTTAACCATTACTTGAAATTTATGAAACATTTATGTTTTCTGATTGAATACTTTACAAGTTTACATAAAAAACAAAAATATTTATTGTTTTCTGAAATTCGGTGTATTTTTAGTCCCTAAATGGACAAAAGTCCAAAACAAGTACAGATAATGTAGTGAATTTCATGAAGGCGTGAATATTTTTTTTATGAAATTTAAATAACATTTGTACAATTCACCTCAGAAAACCTTCACATTTCATTCAAATCCAAATCATTGCCTATAGAAGCCATTTTCTAATGTCCATTACCCATGAGTCTTTGGAGGTTTTTATGTAAACTAAACATTCATACCTTCATGAAATCCACTGTACTGCCTGTTTATGTTTTAAATTGTATTGTTGTGTTTTAGTATATAGCAAAAGACATTAGAAGACACAGACAGACTACAGTATTTGCTTTGGTTTAATGTTTATGATTCAAATACGATGCAGGGTTACATTACCTATAACTTCATAATTTTAAAGATACACATTGTCACAACAAAAATGTTTAAATTGCCTTATGTTCATTGAATCTGGATGGTGAATATTTCTAAATTTCATAGGGCACCAAGGCTATGAAGTGGGCATCCAGGCAAATACTTTCGTAGCCTCCGTAAAGTCCAAGCTCTCCATTATACTGGTATATCTGCAACATCCAAGAAAATATTAATTCCATTTTTTGGTAGTTAATTTTAAAACAAAAACATGTCTACACAAAACAGATTGGAGTTGATTGGACATTTTCTTTGAGACTTGAACAAAGTCAGGGATAATAAGATGCATTTATTTGTTGATTTTTAAACAGTGCTATAATGTTTGAGCAGTATTTCTAAACCAAGCTGTTGTGAAACTACATCTTTTTTTTTTTTAAAAAAACTGCTGTTGAAATTGTGATATGGATGGTGGATGGGGATATTTATAATATATGGATAATTATGCAATAGAACGTGACATACTTAGACATTCATTTCTGTTGATATAGTGTTTTTTATTTATTATATTTAAACAATTTATTTTTACAAATTACACATCCATTGTAGAATATACCACCGGGAAGGTTATAATAATAATAATAATAATAATAATAATAATAATAATAATAATAATAATAATAATTATTATT